TTCCCTCAAAGGCGTATTGCAGAAACAAACCTATTGTACAGAGATGATCCTCATTAAAACACACACAAACACACACAGTAATTCCAGGGTCAAAATAAAGTTTGGATGATTTATAGCAAATATCTGAAGACTCAACTAAAAGCTGAACATGTCTTGCTTCCTGAGTCTTGTGGTGGGAAAGTCATGTTTTACCATGTAACTAAATATACTATAATGTGTATTCACAAGGGGGCAAATCACAATACTCAAATACTAACTCTGTTTTTTGCTGACTTCACTGCTTGTCCTTTTAGTATCAGTAACAAATGTTTTGCTATGTGTTTTGGCTTAATTTCCTTGGGTTTTGTATTAGAAGGCTGAAGCATAAACTCTAATGCCTTCCCAAGTTTACAGCATTTGACTGCAGAATTTCAGTATTTGTATGTAACAGTTAACTACAGTAAAGAGCAGAAGAAACAAGATTTAGGGACTGACCACTAGAGGAAGCTACATAATAGTCTGGTCTTGTGGATATATTTGGATAATTCCATTTTACAGGTAGGGTATTGTAAAAATATATCTAGAATGGCAGAATATATGGCTTTCTTCTAACGCCACTGCAGTTCCGTGGTTGAAGCTTGTCTTTGCCACTTGGAGATGTTGTTTAAGCCATCTTGTGTGAGTTAGGATTGTGTAATAAATTATTCCTCTTCATTAAAGGCAGTAAAATTGACAACAGTCTTCAGAAGTAAAAGAAGAAAATAAATACCGGGATTTTATATTTCTCTCTTAAACTTGTAATCCTGCTTCAGCTGGCACAGGACAGAGCCCTTGTTTCTCAGCTTTGAGGCAGATTTTTGTAGGCTGGAGGATATTCTCATGGGGAAGCAGGCACTGTAGAGAAGAGATTCTCTATTCCTCCAGGAGAATATGACCTAACGTGTATGTGTGCAAAGTTGGATACATGTGATGCTGCTAGATTCCCTAAAGATTACCGTAGAAGACAAAGGCATGGAGAATGCAAGCTTTCAATAGTTCATAATTTATCCAGATTTTCAGAAGGCCAACAAAAAAAGCTGCACGTAACATCAAGATTAATCTGCTGCTCAAGTTTAATTCTTTCTGCCCGCCAGAGAGAGATGTTAGGGAGCTAATAAAATTTTTTCTGACAATTAATTTTATGGAAAGGTTTGTCTGGCAGCCTAAGAGTATAAATGATACAGATTTTGCTCTGAGTTGTTGGCCAGCTTGTAACTGGCAACAGCTAAACATTTTCAGTGTGCACTGTAAAATAAACATTTCTAGAATGTCAAACTTCTTGTTCCACTGTAATTAGAGGGATGTTGATTTATTGTGTAATAAAATATTGTTGGGTCTTAGATACTGTTTTCACAGTAGCCTTGCTTTGGTTACTGTATGCCTTTCCATAGGACAGTAATCTCAGAAATAGTTACATACTGACTGAAGTAAGTGACTTCTGTGTGGTATGATTGCTAATATTTCGGGGGCTGCTCTTGTATGTTGCTTGTCAGCATTCCTGGTTTACTTAGCGTGTTTTTAGAATGTCCACTTGCTGATAACTTTTGTGTCTTAGGTTTTTACCTTTAAAACAGTAATCTGAACGCGTGTAGAAAAACTGTATTCTCAAAAATTAGCAAACTGCCAGATACAACACATATAAGGTAGCCATTTTCGTGTCAACCTTTTTACTTCTGCTGTCTTTGGTTGTTTTTATCCTGTAGCAAGAGGTATAAGTGGCTCAAATGGACAATGGATTTCAAACCACGAATATCCAGATAGTTATCTTTTTGAATCTCTGAAAGTGTGATCTCAGAGGCTTCACTACCAGTCCAGTTCAGGGTTAGATTATTTTCTAAAACTAACATGGCTGTGTGAAAATGAATTTTGAGAAAACATCCAGATATTACCGAATACCACGAAAATGCCATGCTAGATATAGTATGTACTTGAAAGTGTCTTTTTTCATTGTAGATGCTTCAAAGTTTCTCATTCTGATGTGTCTAAACACTGAAAATTTCAGCTTGACAAACTGTTGTGAAGAATTATATTGGGGTGTACAGACAGTATGAGAAAATAGTTCTGGGTTTACCAGTTTCTTCATTCATCTTAATATCCTGAGGCTGAATGCTGAAAAGGTAATATTGATTTAGCTGCTCCATTTTGTGGGGTGCCTATTTGGGGTTTTATGGGGTTTTGTTTGGGATTTTTTTTGTTGAGACACCCAGCTATTATGTTCTAACATAAATTTGAAAATCTGTTACACATACAGTTGTATTTAATGTTCCAAAAACTTAATACCAAGTGCGAGATTCTTTTGGGTTTTCTTACTTATATTGGGAATAGTCCCTGTTCCTAGAGGGGGAGCAGTAGTGAAGAAATGAAATGAAGATTAGACTATCCTGACTAATGGAGAGGCTTTAAAATGAGTTGCATCAGTTTTACTCAAAATTAATCAAAATGCTGATAATTTACAAAATGGTTTAATGGATTTTCTTTTATATATTTCGGCAAAGACTATTGTTCAGAAAACATCCCAGAAAGGTTATTTAAACGAAAGAGCCTTGTCAGT